CATTATTTGATAAAAAACAAAATTTAGTTGGGAAATTGTGACGAGTAGTTATAAAAGTTTTAATAAAATTGAATTTAAAATTTGATTTGGGATTTTGGGTGTTACTTTAGTCTAATTGCATATAAAACTAAGATTGGTCCAAATATTTTGGAGACGAGGCAAAAAGTAAAATATCAAAGTCTCAAAGGGACGTAACTTTTTTAAAGTTTACATATAAATCTAGAAATTCGATGGTGACTGATCTATAGACTTTGTACAGAAACAGATTAGAGAGTTTAGTTGTCTGATGCTCTGTTTTGTCCTTCTTCTTTTTTTTTTTGTGTGTTAAAATTGGGAAAAATTTAACCGATTTAGCCAGTTTCACCTAACACGGTAATTATTCACTTATATGATTAGATGAGACAATTCCAACTAAATAAATTTGAACGTCATAAAACATCTGTCTTAGTAAATAGTACTAAATACTACCAGTAACCTTATCATTGTCCAAGAGTATTCAATTATGCTTGTAAATTTTCCTTATCCATTGCTACAGTTCACGAATTAGCAAATATAGTTTCCAAATATGATATACCGTGTGGGCCTATGGTTATGGGCCGGGCCGGTCCGAATTGAAAAATCTAAACGACTTTTTTTTTTTGTGACAGGACAATTTCAGGGAACCTTGAACAGAAATTTGCTACTGTTCTTCTTGCTATTACATAGGCCACGATCGTATTATGATTCCAACAATGAATATAAAAAAAACTATTGGTCTGGTAGTTCAGATCTAAATATTGATTTTAATAACTTCTTACCTTTTAACATTGAACATGATAATCTTGGTGAATGTTGTATAAAACTGGAAATTATGTAAGCTTGTATACGTACATTTTGGTGTGATCAAATTGACCTCCAACATTAACCGTACGTGTAAAGCATGGTTAGAAAATACGAATATACATGTTAAACCCCATTTATTTGAACATCCCGAAATTTCGGGATATTTTGAAACATGCATTACTGAATCTAATCCGATCGTCGCTCACCAACTATAGGTTTCGATGATGTGGAGCTTTCATATATGATGCATCGTCACTAACACTTTTTTTTTTAACTTAACA